ATCACCAGGCTCCAAGCCGGCCACATGTGGTGTATTCCCAGTTGGGAGACAGCCCATTGGCCCCAAATCAAAGCCTCAAGCTCATTTTTGGAGGTGGTACAAAGATATTTCACTCTATTTTCTTTAGTGGTTTCATTTATGATCAGTATCATCTTGAATATCCTTAAAAACTCAACATCAGGGAGAATTTAAGGTCCCTTAAATGGTGATGTAGTACCATTCATACAACGAGGAGCGTGCTAATGCTCTTAATCAGGTTGGATAGACCTGAAGTCGTTGTTAGAAATGTGATTTAGGTGTAAAGTTAGTATGTGTAGTACGCATTCATCCAGACAACTAAATTTTCCACATTCCTACCTAATCACGTGTTTAATTGAATTGGTCACATGTATTAAGAAACATGATTCAATTAACTCATATTCGAGGACAATATCAATAAGATTATCCATAAGTAAAACATACACCAAACTTGAATCCAAGAACATGGAAAAATGTTCACAAAGTAAACCAAAGTTACTAGGGTGGATTCGGCCAACAAGGCCATCCATGTCAAAATTCTGCTCTTCTAACGATGTTTGGTGGAGCAAAATTAGTCTCACATATTGACTACTAGAATGGTACTCCTTAACAACATTGGTAGGGGCACGAACAGGTGCATAACCAATGATTGATTCCATCAAGACGGAAGTAGATTCTGCAGGGTTAAGGTTTGGGAATACTATTCCTTATTCTTGAAGTTTTAGGTCTTAGGTACCAAGGATCACGCTTTGAGCATAATGCCACACCTTGGCAGGCACTGATTATATGCTTATGGTAGTAATCAGATCCAAGAATTGGTAAACTTCCGCTTTCTACAATACTGCTTCAGAAGCGAGTTAGAAACAAGGAAGGACGAGAAAAATATTCTCTATTCAAAATTCGATCAGATTTATAAACTTCAGAATTGTACTCATTCATGGACGTAATTATGGTGTGCTTCAGGCAATGTCTTTCATGATTAGACAGTCTGTAGGAGTGAGCCAAAGAGCAATGAAATCCTCGATCAGGAGGTATTTCCATTTGTAAGGCTTCAGGCACAAGTCTTAGAATGAAGATCATGGCGGAAGCTTATTTAGCTCTTCCTTGCCATTGTTGGCGTCAATGGTTTCTCAGCTTCTTGATAGTCAAGTGGAGATTCACGTCTTATACCCCACATAAAGTGGTTTCTATTAGAAATGTCCAAATCAGGAAAATCAAACTTGTTACAGTACGACAATCCACTGAATGGAGGGAATAAGATTATGATTAGTGCTATGTGAATGAATTATCCATAAGCATCAAAGTTAGAACATTCGAGTTCTAAGACATGGTTTTCATGGGTGTATTGTTTTATGAAAACTTCGAGTTTCAAAGGTATTAGATTTGAAACTACAAGTTCAATTTAGTTTATGAACGTTTAGTTCATAAAAGAGAGGTTTCTGCAAGAAACACAGAATGCAATATACAACTAAGTGTAATGGATTTGAGGTTCTTCGGGAACTTAAGTGTGAGAGCTTCGTTACTACGAAAGTATGTGACGGTTCAAAGTATAAAAATAAATTATTGAATCTTTAATGTCCCAAAGTGATATTCAGGTCAATAATTTTGGATTCATTATCAGATTAATGAACTACAATCACTTTTAATTAATTCAATAGATTGGGACCAAATAGGGTCGATTGTAGAAGCTAAATAATATTAACATACAGGTTAATACTATTTAGGATGCTAAAATAATAGCATGTGGGTCAAAACAATTGCCCTAAAAGATAATTGGGCTCGGGTTGGATGCGTTGAGTAAAAGGCATGGCCCAAAAAAAGGGGCCTTGGGTGCGAACTTCAGGTCACGGGGTGAGGGAGAAATCCCAGGGATAGCTGGGTTTCAAGGTTGGGCCTCGGGGATGGCACGGGATAAAGCTTAGCAGATTTGCTGGCCTGTTAATGCACAGGAGCCCAGCCATAACGGGTTGGCGTCATGTAGGGACGAAACCCATGTGTATGAGCTAATACCAGAGCAGGCTATAAGCCTTGGTGTGCGATGGACAGTAGCCCATCAAGCATGCTAGCTTGCTGGCATGGGTCGAGAGCAGAATGAGGTTCAAAAAGGAAAGCTACATTCTTTCTTGATGATTGGGGACTACGAGCCCGAGACAACCCAACCAGGCCAAAGGCCTGGGGTGTGTATATGCTCGTAGCAAAGTTGCAGTCAAGGTCTATATGGGTGCAGCAAAGCCCAGAGGGCTGCTGCCTAGTTTGTGCCGCAAGGGGTGGTGCTATACCATTCCCAAATTTTTTTTTTTTCGACATATGTAGGGTTTAAGAAACCCTAGAATTGCTTCTAATTTAATTTGATACTTTGACTCACATATTCCACATAACAATTTAATTGTGTGATGCATGAAACAAATATTAATTGTGTGATGCATGAAACAAATATATATATATATATATCGGAAGAAAAATATAAACATGGGGGGGGTTCATGCATTATGGGGAATATTTTCATGCTTCATGGTCGTTTCAAATATCTTACTTTATTGGGTAAATTACATTTTACCCCCTCATGTTTGGGGTCAATTACATTTTACCCCCTCATACATCCGTTAGAAAATCTGTTAAGTTAACAGTTAAGTAATGGCGTGGCAAATATGAGGTCCCCATTTGTGTTGACATGGCTGCCACGTTTTTGCCACGTGGCTAAACACTTAATAAAAAAATTTAAAATATTAAAATAATAATAATTAAAAAAAAAATAGAAAGCCAGACTTCGTTTTCCCCGCTGAGCACCCATCCCCTCTATTGCCTCCACGGCTCCACCCCTTCATCCCCTTCATCCGAGCACCCTCTTCTCCTATCCTCCATCACCCACCCGAGCCATCATTCTCCGATCCATTCCTCCCTCTTCACCTCCCTGACCCACCTTCTCCCTCTCCTCCACTTTCTTCACCTCCCCTCCTTTCACTTCCCCTCCTTTCTTTTTCCCCAGATCAACATTTTCCTTCCCTCCTCCACTTCGTTTTCTGCTCCACGATTTGCATCCTTTTTGCCGCTGAGAAGGTGAGAAGGAAGAGATTGTTGCAGGCTATGATGACCTTGTTAGACGGCAGCAGTGGGCTAGGACTGGTCCCATTGGGCGCCCCCAGCGGAACCCTCTTATCGACGACGTTGAGGCTGCTGCAAACGTAGGTGTCAAACGCGGCTCTGATGAAGAAGGTGATCAAGGTAGAGAGGGAGAGCATGATGAGGAAAGCTAGAAACCACCATTTATGCGCCGCAACCCACCCTGCGAAATGCTTGGCCATTTCTAGGGCTTGAAAGTTTCGTCACCGCGAGTCCCGGCAGCATAATTCTAGGGTTTGGGTTTTCGACTGCGACCAGTGGAGTTTGTACATTTGGCTCTTTGCGATTGATGACAATTGTAAATAATGATAGTTTCAAAGTTTTTTTCGAAGCTCCGATAGATCTCTCAAATTTGTGAAATTAATGGGAAAGTTTGAAGCTTTGGTCGAAATTCTTTTGTTTGATTGTGTTCTTTTACAGAGAATCAGAGTGCAGAGCTCGAGGTTGAGAGGTGCTGCTTCTCTTTGTGTGTAGGAGTGTTTGGAGGGTCGTGGGTTGGGGGTGGGGTGCGCAAGGAGGGTTGTGGATGGGGGAGATGCGGGCGGTCGGGGGGGGGGGGGGGGGTGTGGGGGGAGGATGCGGGTGGGGTGGGGGGGGGGATTATTCTGGGATTTTGGTTTTGAGGGGACAACGGGGATTGGGGGGGGGATGACGGGAAGGTTAACTTCAAGTTTGTTTGTTTTCTTTTTTTTTTATTATATTAAATTAATATATTTAGAAGATTTAGGTTTTTTTTTTAAATAAAAAAAATTGTTTTTTTTTTTGCCACAGGGCACACATTTGGCAGTCACATGGTGGCCACGTCAGCGCTTAACAGATCAATGAATGGAAAATGTAACGGATGTATCATTTTGAAATAAAATAGTACTTAAGGTATGAAAGTGAAATGTTTTGAAGATGTTGTAAGGAATTGAAATAGACCACAAACTTGAGGTGTGAAAGTGTAATTTACCCTACTTTATTTTAAGCGTACTTAATTGGCAGAAAACAACGAAAGCCTTTGAATTTTAGAAGATCATTCTCGGAAAGTCGAAATTGCATCTCCAATATGTTGTATCACATTCAACACAGAAAAATTAAATTGAATCAATAGCATGTAGATCAATTCAATAAAATAATAAAATAATCATAAAATGAATGATTAAAACGTAATACTTCCCTGATTGAAGAAAAAACTATCTTTAGCGCAATGCCAAGAGCATATTGATAACGTGTTGTAGGCATAATTTACTGAATAATTATGGAGGTCATATAGAGAAAGGGTGGGGCATAGAGAGAAGAAGAGAGAGATGTGTAATTGTGGGTGTGTTCTATTCCAATCCATTGTGCCTTTATTTATAGTAGTAGGATAGGTAAAAACCTTTCCCCTTAGGATAACAACATTTAATAGTTAATCTACTCCTAATAGGAATATAAGATACGTTCTCATATCTAATAGGATTTACACAATCACATTTATATTCCAATAGGACTGCAACACAAACAACCACTAAAAAAAAAAAAAACAAACAAACACATAAAAAATTTGAAAACCAAGAAAATTACCTACATACACACTAAAAATAAGTGATGGTTACACACTTATAGTGGTGAGTTTGTTTTGCAATTTATTTATGCGAACAGTTAAAATAAATTTTAGTTAAAAAAAATAACAAAGAAACAACTAAAACCTCTGACTGTCATAAATGTAAATACGCGTTTTTACCAAATATGGAAACACGATGGTATTTGTACCCACATTTTCCTTTTTAATTTTAATTTCTTGCACAGCAAGAGAGGCCAAAAATCATAAATTATAAAGAGGTGGAAATCACATGCGGCCAAGAGCACCGCAGAAATTAATAAATTAATAATCCTCAAAAGGTAAAGCGCCAAAGCCAGAGAGAGGAGAGAGATAGAGAGAGAGAGAGAGAGGAATAGCAATTGCAATAGCAGCAGCAGCAGCAGCAGCGAAAATTGGGGTATGGGTTTGCTTCTAGTGTTCTTCCCGGAGGACAACGGCGGCAGCACCACTGCCATTGTCGACAAAACCACCAAGCTCTTCTCTTCTTCTTCCACTTCCTCTCCGTCGTCCTCCACCCCTTCCTCTTCCTCCTCCTCCTCTAAAACATGCACGGTTTTCAGAAGAACCAACTCCAACAACCTTATTCTCTCCAAAGCCCAATCCACAATTTCCATCTGTGCCCTTCTCGTCTTCCTCACCCTCCTCCTCTTCACCCTCTCCACCTTCGAGCCCTCCGCCGCCAAGCCCCGTCCCGTCGGCCGATCACCTTCCAGAAGGTTCCTCTCCCAAAATACCCAAATTCCCAAATTGCCCACAAATCCGAACTTACCCCTTCTCTCCTCCACCTGGTTATCCAAAATGTGGAAGCAAAAACAGAGCAATCCAATACAGAAGTTAAGGTCCCAATTTGCCCTCCAGAAAATGGGCACTCTGTACCGCCGTGGCACCAGAGCCATGCCCGATCTCGTCGTCGCCCACGTCAACGATGACGTAACAGAACCCGAACTCCGGTTGTTTCTGAGGCTGCTGCACCGGTCCGGCCTCACGTCCAGAGCCGACGTGGTGTTCGTCTTCGCCTCCTCCGGTTTGAGATTCGGGTCCGTGATTCGGGAAGAGAACGCCTTGTTCTTTGAGCTCCTACGCCGTTACGGAGGACTGAACCGGACGGCTGCGGCGGGAAAAAAATCCGGTTCCGGTTTCGACGTGTCTCAGTTCGTGAAGGCCTGGCAGAAGGAAATTGAAGAGCCCCTGTGGGGGAGAAAGGGTGTCAACTCGGAAGGGGAGGGTGAGTTTACTCGGTTTAGTTACGGTTCGGTCGTGGGGTTCGAGGCGGGTGAGCTCGACCCGGAAAATTCGCTATCAGGGTTCGTGGACCACGTGGTGCCTATGAGCCTGCGGCGGTGGGCTTGTTACCCGATGCTTCTCGGCCGGGTTCGGAGAAACTTCAAGCATATTATGTTGGTGGACGCGAAAAACTCAGTCGTGGTAGGGGACCCACTCAGCCGAGTCCGGCACCGGAGTCCCGAGTCGGTTCTTTTATTCACAATGCCGCCGCCGCCGGCGGGTAAGCACGGCAAGAAAAACTCGGACTCAACTCAGTCTCACGGCGCAGTTAACTCCGTCGTTATCACCGGCGGAGCACGGGGAGTTCGGCGACTGTCCAACACCGTGTTGACGGAAATCGTTCGGGCCACCATGCAGCACAAGAAGAAGAGCACGGTGACGGAGTCGGGAGTTTTAAGTCAACTCGTTGCCAAGGCGTTCGTAACGAAGAGCATTAATTTGGTCACGTCGAGTGAGTCGGTGCCGGACCCAAGTTCTATCGGCGGAGCAGCCAGGCTGTCCGGCGGGCACACAATTATTCAACGTGGTAATAGTAATCATGAGGAGTTTAATTCTGTGATTATGAAGCAAATTTGTTTATTAGAAATAGATTCTTCTGTGTACAGGGATTGTTAGGAAAAACAATAAAATAAGTTTTAGAGGAAAAAGAATAGAAATGTTTATTAAGATGTGTCCAACAAATTCTTGTTCTTATTTATTTTTTTATTTTTGGTTTAATTTCTTCTTCCCTTTCCAGGACACCAAGTTTTGTTGTTACTTGTTTATAATATTGATCTAGCAATAAAATCACTTCTTGTGTATACTCTCTACATGATGTCAGTACCATATTTAGTATTGAAAAAACGTAAATTCATAATATTACATGACGGTGTAACTCTGTGACACTAATAGGTTTTTTAGTAGAAAATTTCGATAGGTAGACTGTAGAACACAAATCAAGCAAGTAGAATGAAATAGTGAGTAGTGTCAACCGTCAAAGTGGGTTGACTAGGTCAAAATGAAATTAACAAAAATATATAGTCAACTAAGAAATTATTACCGTTGCTTAGTAGTATTCATCTTTATTGGTAAGTAAGAAGTCTTAATTCAATTTCCACCAAAAACGAATTTAAACCACATTATTGCTAGTCTATTGCGAGATTTAACTCACTCCTCACCTCCTTTTTGGTTTTGAGAGTGAATTAAGAAAAATTATAGGGTCAAGTCAACTAAGAAACCATTAATATTTTGGGTTCTGAATAAAATTATGAGTTAATGGTAGAGCATGATGGGGTTTGGGCAGCTAATGCTAAGGTCAATATATTTTTAGGCGAGTCTTTGGAGTTAAAATTGTAAATAAAAGAGCCAACTTTAAGTGCAAGATTGATGGGATTTAGGCCCTTAAGCAGCTAAGCTCCAGCAATTTCCTTGGTTGATTAGCAACCCTTTTTGTTTTTATAATGATTAGTGCCATTCCTCATTCCTCATGCTTTGCCTTGCCCACATGAATCAATTCCCTTACAATAGATCCGAGACTCCCAACTAGCAAGAGCAAAGGTCAAAGTTGTAAGTCACCATCTATCATAGTGATAGAGATAAGTGTTATCTTTACACCACAGTATGGATTCAAATCTCGTCGGTTCCTAATCTAACAAATTTATCATTTGAAAAAAAAAAAAAAGACAAGGTCAAAGTTAAAGGCTAACTTTAACTAAAAGCTGAGGACTTGCAAATAGGAGAGAGAGAATGCTGAATAAAAAGGTACGGGCAACCTTTATATTGGGTGACCATAATAAAGCGCAATAGAGCTTTTATGCTCTGTGTGCTGTTGGATTGTTCTATCCAAATTTTTTTAGGAATAGATTAGCCATAATTTAAACGAAGAATGATTTTGCTGGTTAGAGACAATCGTTCATGCGCGAGTAAAACATTTATGTCGTTGATTCAAAGCGAATTTCACATTGCATAAACAACTAAGAGCTATTTTATCGCTCAAATTGCATCAGCAGATAACATCCATCAAGTTTAAGTTGTTGAACATCAAAGAATCACGTAGCGTTTGATAGAGATATTTGAAGACGTTGAAGTGTCAATTTTGTGTGCATCTGTTCAAGGGAGGAATTTGAGGGGGTGGGACTAGCTACCCTTGCTAGGGAGATGTAAGGGCATTGATGATGCGCCATGTGCTTGCGATCTTCCCATCCGCGTTGATTTTAATTTTTCCCTGCTTTTCACAAAAGCCACAAAAACGTGTAATTCTTTAAGTTTAAGCGCCTTTACTTTCACTTTACCAGCTTTTACCGTTATTGTGCTTCCAACCAAACAAGGCCTTATTTACTTCATCCTTAGCATCAAGTTAATTATAACAACACATGTTTACAAAATCAGTTAGCTAACAAAAGTAGTTAAATGAAATTGGGATTCTCAAGTGTTTTGTTTGTAACATGCCCATAGATTATCAACTGTTTTACCAAATTTTTCCTACAACATTAAGGTAGTGTTTGTTTTGCAATTTTGGCACTTGAGAATGACTAAATGAATGAAGAGTTGTAACGGTGACAATTGAACGCTTGCGTGTGATTGACTAGGCTAGAAACAATTTACAGGTTTGTGAAACTGAAGCGCAATAATGTTGATAGATACTCATGAGCGTGTAAGCAATTATTATTACGATGATACAAATAGATGGTAAGTGTAGCATTACTCGTGAGTTTTGGATTATATATATATATATATTGCCAGTAAGGGTTTTCCATACCATTTCTTGGGTTGAATTTTTAATAATAATAATAACAATTACAACATTATAAATCTACAATAATTAGTCTAGTATAAAATTCTAATAATTGCAATATCTTTTGTATTTACACTAATACAATTCCTAGTGAATGCAATAATTTGTTTTAATTTGTTTTTTATAGAGATAATATTTACAATGTGATTCATAGTATGAACTGTTCTGATCATATAGCACAAAGCTTTGCGATTAAAACACTAAAAATTTTGAGTAAAAATTTTTACTTATATTTAAGTAATCAAGTATTGTTCGTCGTAAATTATGTAAAAAATTACCATTATCCAAAAAATAATAATATAATTATTATGCAGAGGTTGATGAAATTGTAAGGAAAGTGTAGGGGTGAGTGTTGCTCCCTATGCTGATATCATTTTTTGTTCAGACTTCAATGGCTGACATATCAAATACTATTCTGGTGGGAAGAACCGAGGAAGGAGTGCATTTTTCAAGACACCTCAAGGAAAAGGACCCCTTGGCCGTATGTACATCAGTCATTGACTTGTGGCTGCTGAACTGAAATCTAGTTCAGATCATGCCCAAACTTCATTTACACCTTCAAGCAAAAATATTAGTGACTAATGATATCAACTAATTACAGCTTTTGATTGCAATTGTGCATCAATTACTCACTTCTAAACGGATCGGGGGGGAGCTTCCTAACCCTCACAACTTCATAACTAGTCAAAGTCAAGATAACAACTGTCATGCAACGGCAATAGCACTGTGATAGTATTTAAAGTCGATTGCTTAAAATTGTGGGAAAAATTAACGTACATAACAATGCGTGATTGACAGAAAATACTATCACATCAAATTGTATAGTAAGTTATGGTAAAACCTTGACATGGTTGACAACTAGTCAAAGAAACCATCTTTTAAGATGTAGGAACAAATAATATTTTTAACAATACAGCTATCTAGACACATAAAACTAATAAAGTTGTCGACACATTGTTGGATGTTGGACTCTAATCCAACGGCTAATAGGTCAATATAGTTAATAAGGATTGATGTGGAATGTAAGTGTGATTAGGGTTTAGTTATAAGCTATAACTTGGACTCCAAGTAAGGTATATATAACCCGGTTATAATTGGAGAATAAGTGTGACATCTCACATCGCCCAGGGAAGTGATCCTTATATGTATATTCTCATCCCTACCTAGCGCGAGACCTTTTGGGAGCTCACTAGCTTCGGGTTCCGTAGGAACTCCGAAGTCAAGCGAGAACAGGGCTAGAGCAATCCCATGATGGGTGACCCACTGGGAAGTTGCTCGTGAGTTCCCAAAAACAAAACCGTGAGAGAATGGTAAGCCCAAAGCGGATAATATCGTACTATGGTGGTGAAACGGGCCGGGGAAGTGATCCGCCCCGAGCCGAGATGTGACAATAAGGGCTCTTGATATTATCCTATTTGGATTGAGATTTGGTAGATTATATCCTTGTACAATAAGGGATCCTAGTGTATGATTATGGGAAGGTCCCTGCATACACGTACTTAGATTGAGATTTGGTAGTATTTATACCAAGGGAAGGTCCCTGCATACACCATCAATACACGTACTTAGAGAACTCCCCATAAGTTCGAGTAATCTAGTGGTGGTGAGTGTGCAGAAGACCAACCTTCGAAGTTCAAAGTGTTCGAGGAAAGCTTGCTGCAACTGCAGTCCTTGCTGTGCTAGGAAGATGTCTTCGCAAGGTTAGTTCATTGGTGTTTTACTTGCATGAACGTTTAAAACACACATTTTCTATACACGTGAATTGCACTACAATATATTTAGAGTGTATCAACAATTGTGTCTATTTTTGTTCGTCTAAATATGTAATTATCATCTTTTAATTGTGTAAGAAGCCAATTAATGTGAGGTAAAAATTAAAATATGTTTGAGAGTTTTTCTTCTGAAATGAGTATAACATGTTTAGAGCTACTTGTATACGTAGTACTACTTTTTACGACAATTTAAAGGAAAATGAGTCTTTCTTAACAATAAAAAAATAGAATCGAACCTGAAATCTCTTGAAAGAAAATTACCAATCAATACAGTCCGAGGTAAGATACAAAATAGTTGGTAAGGAAAGCTCATTTGAGTTTAGTAAAGAGTGAACCTACATCAAGAGTGTTACTTGCCGTAGGAAGAACAAGAAATAAAACAAAGCAATTAGGCAAAAACTCAATTGAAAAACATTACGTAATGTATAGTATAATATAATTAGGGACCCATTACTGCTACTCAATTTACCCTGACGTTAAACTAATAGTTAAGCAGTTTAGTTTGGCAATTTTTGGCAAAACTTAACAATCATATAATTTAAGAAGTGAGTGTAACAGTGTAGCTTAAGATGTACTCTCCACTATATATTCAAAGTTCGAATCTCACACCCGGTAATTTAGATTTAAGTTTCTTGATTAAAGTGTTATTGACACTCCAAAAATCTCATTCTACACTCCTTACAAGTGTATTTTTCTTTCTAAATATAGAAAGTTTGGAGTGCCAATAACAATTCCCTTATCTTACAGTTTTTGTTAGAAAAATAAATATATTGCTCCCTTACGATTAACTGAGTAGCAGGAGCAACATAGGCAATCTTAATCTGAGGGGAGTAAAGAAATTTTTTAGAATTAAGATAGAATTTGAGTTTGGTCCTCATTCATTTGTTCGTCTTTTATTTAATCGACGGGGGAGTGATTCGATTCTGAGATTTTTTTCAATCACATGGATACAAAATTCAAAGTCCTTTTCTAATCGAATCATATCACCTATGTAAAAATATATTTGTGTTAGCATCTGTTGGACAATAGAATGCTGCATCGATCATATAATAAAATATTATACAATTAATATATGAGAGCTTCCATTCTTAATATTATCAAAGCATTTATTAATTTACACGAAGTTTATTAAAGCATCATATAATGTGTCGGTCACCAAATTAAAGATAAAATTGATTCATAATTGTGAATGACATAAGCTTTAATCAAGACATTGGGTGTATTCGTGCTTATCACAACAAAAAGAAAAAGAAAAGG